TGCCCACCGACACATTCTTTGTACACTGGCGATTCGTGCACGTTCGATTCATCGTTACTGTCTTCTTTTTCTTGGTTGTCTGTTTATAGCTACCGGCTTTCACAAGTTTTGTGTATCCGGCGGTATAGCGCAGCCTACGTAAGTATATTTGCATCGCAACAGGGACAAAATAAGATTGATGTTAAAGCAGTATGTGTGTGTTTGTCATCCTTACAACTTGCAGAAGTTCCTCCTCACCCTACGCTGCGATGACGTGTGGTCGGCATTCTGAAATCATTTATGCGATTCCGTACCATGCGTAGCTTCAATAAGAATGTTCGTAAGGACCCGCGCACTTCTACAGTTCTTTGAAATAGTTACGCTGGTCTCGTGCCCCACGGCATTCAGCTTGGTGGGTTGTCATGGCCTGTTGGGTACACACAGCCACGCAACGACGAAACGATAGGTTGTATTGCGTTGTTTACAAAAAGTACCCTTTTCAAGAAACGAATACGGCGAGCAAAGCGTTCGGTATACACTTCCGAATTGTTCACATACAATAGCAATATGTTCTTTCAACAACGAATTGATATCACTAATGTAAAAAGGATATACGCAATTAGTTTGCACTAAAGTAGCGACATCAAATGCTTCATTAACTGCTAATGTACCACAAACAGATAACCTTAAATTATATGAGACACAATCTCACGAATTGTTTCGTCAAGTTTCAAAGCTCTATCTGTATATTTTCTTGACACATGTAGCGATTGTAGCAGTATTGTTTAACTTCTACATGCCAATTCTCTGCACTTCCTGTCATTTCCTATGCGCGTTTTGTGTGGAGAAGACGACGAGAAGTGTTCGGGTGTCCAAGCGCTTCTCTCTGTTGCCCGGCTCTTGGCCGATCCCCCTTTGTGGGTGTGCACCAGAATAACAAGGATCATCATCAATCATCATCATCATCATACGTGCTCTCCCGATTTTTTTTTCAGTGAAACCTTAAGATTTTTCTGGTGCCTGGTCTCCGCGTCTTGCAGCCATGGACGCGAGGCCTTCCGGAGGACTACCTGGACAGCAGTCATCTCGGCTGACCACCGCGAGGAATGAAAGGAACTTCACTCAGTGACAGCGAGGACACAGAGCTGTACTCAGCTGCCTCGGAAGATGACTCATCTGACGATGATTTCATTCCTGCCCGGAACAAGAGGGCGAAGAGGAGAATCGTCAACGCAGCCTCGCCCACTTCTGCGAGTGCAGTGACCATGGAGTCAAGGCATGAACGCTGGCCACACGTCATCATCTTCGTGCCAGAATAGTCCTCAGGAAACCTGCGACTGCTGAACAGGCAAGCACTCTCCGCTTTTTTTGGAACGTGTGACGTCTAATGAAATCAAGGAATTCAGAGTAAATACGCGAAAATATATAGTCGCCATAGACGTATTCCACGTGAATGCGCTTGGACCACTCAAACAAGCGACTGAGCTAGGTGGCATCAAAATGCGCCTCTTTATACCGATCGACAACGCATCCATAGCCGGTGTGATATACGACGTAGACATTGCGATTCCCGACGCTGGCTTGCCTACCCTCATTAAATCGGCAAATGCGGTTATTGTCATCACTCAGGTACACCGCCTTGGAAAATCACGCTGTGTGAAACTTGTCTTCGAAGGCAACTGCACACCATCCCATGTCAAAGTCGGACATTTTCGACAAGCTGTTCGGCATTTTGTGCAGAAGTGACTTCATTGTCACCAGTGCTTTGAACTAGGTCACGCCAAGGGCGTGTGCTCAAACTCGCCACGGTGCCCCGGTGCGCAGAACCCCGTTCGGAAGATGCGTGTCAATCCACTTTTTTTATTGATGCGGTAGTTGTAGTGGCTCACACACTGCCTCATCGAAAGACCGCCCTCGAATTAAGAAGGAGCGCACGGTGCTTAAGCAAATGGTCAGAGACAATTCGACCACAGGGATGCTGCCGAAACAGTCCGGCGTCGGCGGAGACATCGGCGCCATCGTTCGACCTCAGTGGCTGCGCAAGCTTGAAACGACAGCGCCACTTCTACTGCTGCACAATTAAGCGGAGCCGCCACAGGACCGACAAATTTAAAGAAGACGGCAGAGAGGAGTATCTCCATAGAGGAATGGCCTATTCTTCCAAGTCGTCCGCTAACCATGACACGTCAGAAGACCCCGCCCACTCAGGGGTCATCACCAACCGCTGATGACACACATAAGAAAGATGGCAAAGTCATAACTATGCTTCGTTCTCTCACGGATGCCATCCGGGAGATCTCGTTGGACATGGGGACAACGTCTGCTCGAAGCACCCTCGAAGTACAGGACGCCTTAAGCCCAGTACTTCAATCGCTCGAGTAGAAATACGGTTGACGACCGCCATCATTTCTAAGAAGTCAAGGAAGCATCCATCATTAAGTGCAACGCCAGTGGACTAAAACCGCATCTTTTCGGACTTTCGTCAGCTAGTACGCGTCAAAATGCTCCACGTCGTCAGCTTGTGTGAGCCCAACGCGCACGCTTACTCTCCTCTCTCTCTCCCTTTTTCCATCTTTCAAACTCCCTCATCCATATCCCCAGTGTAGGGTAGCATACCGGTCGCTCTAGACTGTTTTACATCCCTGCCTTTTCTTTCTCTCCTGTTCCTCCTGCTACATGTGTGTATTATATCTCTCTTTGCTGGCTGCCTTTTACACGGTGGGCCCGAATCTTCGTCAAGTGGGAAATGCCTTCTAAATGCGAAGCATTTCTTAGCGACCTTCGACCACCTTGAGCGTATCTATATCTATCTATCTATCTATCTATCTATCTATCTATCTATCTATCTATCTATCTATCTATCTATCTATCTATCTATCTATCTATCTATCTATCTATCTATCTATCATCTATCCATCTATCCATCTATCCATCTATCCATCCATCTATCCATCTATCCAACTATCTATCTATCTATCTATCTATCTATCTATCTATCTATCTATCTATCTATCTATCTATCTATCTATCTGTCTATCTATCTATCTATCTATCTATCTATCTATCTATCTATCTATCTAGCCGCCTACAAATTTTAGCTCTCCTGGCTGTTTGGATAATGGTATCGATACCAAACTTGGTATGGCATAACATGACTGTATGACGAGCATGTTTGACTAGTCATAACATGAAAATCATGACATGTGTGTCATGAATGTCATGATTTATATTTCATAGTCTTGCCGCTCTTGCAGCGGTTTCGTTCACCTGTCATGTTGCAAAACTGGTATGGCCAGACATGATTGCATGGCGAACACAAGCGACAGACCCTAACATGAAAATCATGACATGCGTGTCATGTAACAACATGACTACATACCACGCTCATGATGCGCCGGCGGCCATTTCGCTAGCTTCACATGTACCAAACTCGGTATTGTGCAACGTGGACGACATATGTAGATGACACATTCTAAAATGACAATCACGACATGCGTGTCATGTAACACTACATGCCACACTCATGATGCGCTCGCAGCCGTTTCGCAAGCTTCACATAGGTCAAATTTGGTATTACGTGACGTGAATAGATTAGGAAGGTAAACGACACATCCAAACATAATAACCATGACACGGAAGTCATGTAAGGCATCATTTACCTCCACCTCGTAACGTTGTGTTGATTTTAAAGTGACATAACAACATTTCTCATTCGTGCTTCGCATATCATCAATTCCAACTGTACGTGGAATTTGACCATTTTTTTTTTGTTCTTGAAGTTTCAACATACGTCTAGTGTCTTTGATGGCCCCGCCACGTTGGTGTTGTGGCTAAGGTATTCGGCTGCCGACCCGCAGGTCGCGGAATCGAATCCCGGCGGCGGCGGCTGCATTTTCGATGAAGGTGAAAATGCTGCACCCGTGTGCTCAAATTTGCGTGTACGTTAAAGAATCTCGGGTGGCCGAAATTTCCAAAGTTTCCACTACGGCGCCTCTCATAATCGTATGGTGGTTTCGGGACGTTAAACCCCACATATCAATCAATCAATCAATCAATCAATCAATCAATCGAGTCTTTGACTGTTTGCGGCTTCACTCGAACGTTCCCGCGCTGAGAATCATTGTAGAAACGAAATCACCTGGCCAAAGCTAGCAGCAGCCTATAGAAGCAACCAACGTCTTCTAGCTAACCTAGAAACATTCTAAAAGCAATCAGATTAGTCGTCAGTATCGGCCAGTTTCACTGCGTAAAGTCTTGAGCAGCTTAGCAACCTTTCTTCAGTTGCGTTTTCTGTATTCAACCAGAAGTTCTTCCCGCTTTCGAATAAAATTAAGGTCCCTCTTCTCGCGCGTTCGGCCTACAAAACAAGATGTTTTACGGCGAGAACGCTTCACTAAACTTTGTCCTGTCCTATCTCCGCCAAAACAAATAACCGACGAGAGCAAGCACACCAAGATTCTACTATCAGATGTCACAACAGTAAGAATGTACTACGCGCGTATTGGTGTGGGATACCACACGTTGCTGGCAATGTTAAACAAACAAGGAACAGCTAGCTTTGTTGACGAAACCTCTCCTTCATGCGTGACTGTGCCTTTGTGCGCTCGCATCAGCTGCGGCCATTGTTCTGGGGACACAATATTACTCGCGAACAACTCACGCTCGCATGTTGCCCCGTGGGCTTTGTTTTTGTCTTATTCACGAGAAAATTTCAAACGCTAAACAACTCAAGAAGGCATAGTTTTTTTTTTTCTTGGATCTTTACCGCTACATCAAACTACTTGCATAGTTCGTCCCACCATCGCTACACTTTTGCGACAGTGAGAGAGTTAGCAACGATTAAATGACCACGAAGATGAACGAATGAAACAATGCGCGACCAAGGAATGTCCTCCCTACCACCCTCTCAAAAAACAGCCAGTGTTTCCCCAAAGGAACGGTTCCATTCGCACCACCGGCCAGCAAACAAACAAACAAATGCCCATACCGCAATTCAAGAGCCTGATCCCATGAATACTCACCTGTCTGCAAGTGCTGAGGCGGCAGCAGCCGTGGGTCGGAGACGAACTCTTTTCCAAATAAAGCAAATAAACCGCTTCTTCCTTCGTCCTGTCGCACCGAAACGGCAGAGATGAAGGGTGCTTCGGGGGCAAACGCAATCTGTGCCCGAGCGATTAAAGGGAAGGGAGGAGCTGCGGCTGTCCACTGGCGTCAGCGCGCGTCAAAGAAGCACGCCGGATGATCGCCGAACGAGCGGCGCTTGCGCAACTGACGCGCGTCCGAGAGCACAGAAAAAGAAATAGCAGAGGGAAGCGCTTAGTCAGGAGAGGCGAAGAAAGCGAGCGACGGGCAAACAGTCCGTCGTGCCGCGCTGGGTAACACAGGAGAGGTCGTCGCTTTGGAAAAGCTTGCCGAGGCGTCGAGAAACTAGCGGGGCCGACTGTCCACGGCGCGCGCGAGCAGTGAACAAAGGCTAAAGTCTCGAGTCGGAAGAAGAAGGGTGTGGGGACGTCGAGGGGGGGAGACGCAAACAACTGGATTCCTGGGCCTCCCGCTGACGTGGTTTGGCCGGGCGTGCTCAGCGGGCGCCCGAAGTCCACGACCCGACGCCGACGGGATGCGCGCATGCATCGCTCGATTCGGTTGTATAAGAGGCCGGTAGCGAAGGGCAGGTAAAAAAATAAAAAAAAGCACGCGCAAGCGACGCCCAGCCGAGGGCAGGCGAGGAGGAAGTTGAACTTGAAACATATCGAAGGTGAGGGGCATAGAAGGACGAGCAATTTTTAGACTCCCGAGAGCACGAATTATTAGGAGGAGGGACTGGCATAGAGCACCAGGGGAGGAGGACGAGCGGCGAGAGAAGTCGAAACGAAAGAGGAAGGTGATGTCGTCAATACGGAGCCGGCAAAATTCGCCGGCGTCGTATTGGAAAAGAGGGAGGGGGAGGGGAGGGGTGGACGACGTATAGATCTACCGGACGCAGATGGACGCTGTGTACGATAGAATTATGTACTGCATGAACGACCTTGCCCGTATATACATACGCACACAGGAGTGTCGTCACTTCCTACCGGCCTTACTTAGGTTTTTTTTTTTTTTACTTCAAAGTGGTCCCTTCTCTTTTGGGAAGATGCTTGATTTATTCGCGCGATCGAATTCCTGAGCAAGCGTCGTCGTCGTTTCCGAGATAAATGAGGAATTCCGGAACCGCACGACCACTCGGTATGGTGTGTGTGTGTGTACAGTGTTGTGGGAAAAACCCGGGCAGGACGCCCGGTTTTTCGGTGTCTCCGATGCGCTCTCGATCTTCCTTCGAGGAATGCAGGTCGATGCGGACGGGTGTTCGTAATCACCGGCTATGATCGGTGCAAAGAAAAGAAAGAAACGTACTCATGTCTTAATCGAGTGGGGATCTATATAGCGCGGCAAAAACCTAAAAAAAATAACATCATGTTTAGCGCTGGCATTCGATGAATAACGCGCCCCTGGTAGGTGCGCTGTCAATGTGATTAATTATCGCGTAAGCACACACACCTATGACCTACACCACAAGTAATAGAACCGAAGCACGCAACCGCGTTGTAGGGACACCCTAGCACATGTTCCCATCACGATATTTTATTTAAATCATTTATATATATAAAATTTAGTACAGCCCAACTTTCAATTTGAAAGATAAGGATACCTCAGAAGTTATTCAATGGTATGTTGACTTCATGATAATATCTGGGGTTCCAACGTCCCCAAACCATGATATAGTGATTATAGACCTCTTCGCTCAAGGCTCCCTGGGCGCCACCATAGTCTTCTCTCTGGGCTGTTGTTGATGCGCGTTACCCCCACCCCCCCTCCAAAAAAAATGCACTCACGAGGCTGTAACGTCGGCTTTTGTACTCTCGTGCAACAGCCCAGAAAGGAGGAAACCCTCCTCTCCGTAAAAAAAAAAAAAAGGCGAACAAACGCTCTGGTGGATGGCTCCAAAAATGTCGACTATCTGGTGCTCTTTCTCGCGCCCTGGCGTCACAAAGTACAGAGACCTTTATCATTGTGCCTCCATCGAAACATGGCTGCCGGGATCGAACACGTGACCATCGTGTCGGCAACCAAGATCATAACGACTGCTTTACCGCGGCGGACCAGTATACGATTTAACACAGTTGTATTATGTGATTCGTTGTTGAAATTTATGATGGTGTTCATGTGGTAGTATATTAACTACTAATCCTAGTCCTACTAATCCTAATCACAAATAATCTTTAATTCGAATGGATTGAGATATTATCGAAAAGCTATACAAGTATAGTACCTCGAGCATTCGAAATCGAAGGCTAACATACCTCGACGAAATGTTAGCCTTCGACTAGCGCTTGAATTGGTGATTAAACACAGTCAATGAACCAGCTAGGACATGTTGGCCAGAACTGTAATTGCCTTTAACTTGCTACACGATAGTAAAGCTCGAGAAACGAGAGCTTTGTCGACGTCTATTGACGACGCCAGAGCATATTAGTAAATTAACAACCAATTGCTAATTATCCCTTATTAGCCATCGGGCAGAACACTTCACTGAGACTCCGGTGGATTGTGTTAAGGCATTATGGCCTCTGTTAAATTACGGTGACGAAAATCGAAGCATTGCAAGCAAATAAAGACTATAAATTTATGCCAGAAGGCTGCAAAATAATCCCTCTAACGACCAACATATTATGCACTATCACTATCGAACAAACGTGAGATTGAGATATATTCCGGCCCTCTAAGCAAAAAAAAAAAAGAAACGTTGCATAGAGCATAGTGACTGTGTAATAAAATGATGTGCACCACGAAGGACACAGCTTATACATTAGAAATATAGCTATTTTGTTATGGCAAGTGTAGCTATGGTGTTTGATTGCTTTCTATGGCTGAACTCAGTCTAATTGATTATCGTGGGAGCTCCTCCCTCCACCCCTCACCCATCACACACAGTAATCTGTCAATCACAGATCTTTAATGCCCACTGGACGGCTTTATGCTTTCCCATTGTAGAGTACCTCGTACTATTAATCGTTGACAGCTATTTCTAAACACACAGTCTACGAGTGCTTTTCCTCTAGTATCGCGTTTCGATGCTCATGTTCATTAGCCAACTTGATACTTACATTGCTTTACTAGAAAATACTAAGGGGCAAACTCGTAGCTTAATAATGGGAACATATTACTCTAAGATTCGTGAGGGAATAACCAAGAACCGCACCTTCATTGCGAGGACGTAACGTAGTACAAAAAAGTACTGAACTTCCAGCAGACCCTGGTATGTCATAAACTGCCGCTTAAAACGCTACTAAGAGACAAAACAATTAATGTTAGACGGTGAAACGATGAACTCTTTATGCACTCTAACTGTTGTGCACGTTTAGTTTGTTCTATATGAACTTCTTACCAGCCGACTGCATACTCGAGTTATTCCTATAGCTCTTTTACGGGTGCTTCCGTGAGGGTGCTTGTATGGGATCAATATAAGCTCTCTTTGTTAATACTTCGTAGTACCGTTGCAGACACTTGCAGCATTTTTCAGTCTCACTTGCGTTTTCTTGATGTCATTGTCATTGCTGCGGTGTTTTTCACACTCATTATCTTAAAATGGCCGGTCCCATTTATGGTCTCTTTCCTTTTTTTTTTTAATATACACCAAACAAAAAATGAGAACATCACAATCGATATAAATGATTGCATGTTTCGTACAACCCGAAAAGCGCACGGCTCGAAAGTGTTATCCCCTAACGAAGATAAATACTCTCTTCGGTTGCCATAGCAGCGCCGTTTATCCAGAGGTTTCGTGCTCGCTGGTCAACACCAGCATACGCGTATCCACTTGTACCGAGATTATGGGTATACTGACCCCCGTATTCAGAAACGCTCCTCAACTCGAATTCCATCCTTCACTTGACTGAGTTGAGCACTGCGCCGCTGCTCGACTGAAATTGACGCTGCGATTCTCAAGAATCGCTGCAGAATATTGTCGATATGCAGTTGCTTGGTCTGCCAAGAGACGGCGCTCCCATCGACTTTTTCAAGTCGAGGAGAGCCCTTGAGTGAAGGAGCGTTTGTGAATACGAGGGTAAAGCAAGTCCCTGTCGATACGGCCTATTTGGGGAGCTGACTCAATGTCAGCTCAGAATGAGTCATCAAAATGGTTTGCAAATACCGTGGTGTGAAACCTCCGATTAGTGTGGTATGGAGTGGTGTGATGTGGTGTGGTGATAGGGGTACGGCTCAACACTGCCGGCGGAACAGCTCTCAGGCCACCGGCAGATGCAGGGCTTTGTCGCGCTCCGCGCGACTGTCTGAGCGCACGCCCACGCGTCATCTTAAAATTGATAGTAGTTCAATATAATCGTAAAATAGGATACGGGGCGGGCCAGTGGCCTGTAAATTTCGCAAGGCTAGATCCGTGGGACACCTACAAGATCCTAAATCCCAAATAATCTTAAATCCAAATGAATTGAGATATTCTCGAAAAGCCATACAAGTGTAATGCATCGAGCTGTCGAAATCGAAGGCTAACATACCCCGACGAGGGATGTCAGCCTTCGACTATAGCGCTTGAATGGGTGATTAATTAAACACAGTCAATGAACCAGCTGCAGGACATGTTGGCCAGGACTGTAATTGCCCTTAACTTCCTACACGATAGCAAAGCTCGAGAAACGAAAGCTTGGTCGACGTCTATTGACGACGCCATAGCACAATGAAGGATGTTTCCCAAACCGTAACTGACAGAGTACGCGCTGTACAAACAGAACAAATGCACAGACGCGCATAGTATTCCCGCTCAAGTACTCTGTACGGCGTACACGGCCACAAGCAGTATATAAACATTGAATTTATAGTCTAAAATTGAAACGGTAAATTCACTCTCCTGTTTCTCTCTCATCGAGGGTTTTATTTCATTTTCATTTTAAAACTTATCGATGCTTGCGTGTCCTTTCTTTTTTTGTTTGGCTAAAGCACTTCATTGTTGCATTACATAGAAGCTGTTTATAGCTAGGCCATTCTAATTCCGCGAACTCTGGAAACTAAGAAATCTAGCTATGGTGTAGGCCCTGTATCATCTTTGTGCCGTTAGCTAAACTGTTGCTCTGGTCATACACCATCGAATTGCAGAATGGAGCACTGTTATTTTTCTTTGGACGGACAAAATATCCTCGTATGGGATACATCACTGTTGTGTACCGCGTTTCGTTGCTGTACCATCTTGTTTCTTTGTTTTTTAGAGTTTACTTAGATATACCGGATAAGAGTACTAGCGTTCAACTTACCCCTGACGTCTGCCGGAAGGCTAGCAGCTCGCGTATCCAAACTTCTAAAAAAAAATTCACCCACGCTCCGTATGCTGTTGCCAGGTGTACGTATACAGCGCTAAATGAAACACGAACCGCGGCAACTCGGAGTATTACCCATTGCACGCGAATTCCACAACCTATCGGGCGTCAAAGAGGTCTCGCTCGCTTCCTTGAGCTTTTGCACGCGGTACCGAAAGAATGTCGCAATCGCGCGCACGTGATGACCCTTCAAAAG